ATATATATATTCAATAATTTCTTAAAAATAATATTCACATATAATAACGAACCTGCCAAAACCATAATATTTGTTTACTATTTCGTGTATAATGTCTATAAGTTGTATTACGTTGCCAGTCTTCTACATCTATTTCTTGCATACCACAAAGCATTAATTCTAATTCACGTTCATCAAAGTATTTTAACCATTCTAATGGTACAACGGAATTAAAACCTTCCAAGAAAGCTTTTGTTTGGTCCTCTATACCTCTCGTCATTCTCCATTCTGTCATTAACCTTATTTAATAATAACGAATAAATAATTATTTCTTAAAATATAAAATATCAATCAAATATTAATAGTGCAGTACCTAATATATTCTTCTTTGTTATCTTCAATAACCCTAATTTTATCACCACCTTCTTTCAATTCGTGATGTATTACTTGACCAAGAATTTCAAAGTCAACACTATAATACAATTCTAGACCACATTCGTCAATATTATTTTCTTTTATCCATACAAGAGATTTATAGAATTCTGGATCAATTGACTCTATATCTTTCATAACTAATTTCTTGTTCAACATACGTTTGTAAAATGGCATAGTGAATCCACTGTAGATAAATCGTCCATGATAAAGAGCCTATAAACATATTGTACATTAAATACATTGTTGGATATAATACAGTTAACGGTAGAAATAATTAGTAATATACCATTGCGATAAATCTTCCAATAAATTTAAAATACTGTAAATGATCTGGATTGACATAAGATGCTGGATTGATTTGTAAGCTATAGTTATTTTTATTAGCATATTCAAATAAACAGTACATTGGATTTAATACTTCATGACTTAATAAGAAAAACCATTCTCTGTAATAAAAATTAATTCTTTAACTTATTTTTACTTTCATGAGGTAAAAACCTTTCATTGAAATAATTGTTTAGTTCTTACCTTGATACACCTCCATAGTCTAATCCTTCTTCTCCTTTAAATATTATATATAATCTGCGTCTTAATGCAAAAGCTTCAGCATTCATTATTTGATGATAAGAATCTTCAAACAATGTTTGTCGATTAACGCTAATTTTTATATGATTTGGCACTGCGTTGGTTTGACATAAGAAACGAAATTGTGACAATTTCCATCGAAATGATCTTTCATATGCTCTTGGAACACGATAAATACCTTTCGGACTGAATAACAACATAGCAATAAACGATATAGCAAAAACTGAAAAAAAGAAATATTCAAACATTAATTTAAAAAATTACACAAACCCTTTAGGTGCGCCAGGTCTTGGATCTTGAAATGTAGTTGTTCTTGTATTATGATCTACAAAATATCGAACTCCATCTTCAGTTAATCGTATTTCCCAACCATCTGGTAATGGTGGTTCATCAATTCCAGTTTCTTGTCCTTGAGTTCTTGGATCTTCCCATTGAGTAGTACGATTTTTATGATTTACATAATAAACTCTTCCCTCTGGTTGTTTACGTCTCTCCCATCCAGCAGGTAATGGTCCCAGAGCATCATCATCATCAACAACAGTGGATGTTGAGGGCCCTGCCATAGCTGCTTGACCTCCATGTGCCTAGCATATTTAAGTTAAATTTACTATTCATTTAAGTTTAAAATTTACATTTTAGAAACCACAAAGAAAATGTAAATAAATATAAAATTATTATGCTACAAACTTAATTACTGGATATTGAAATTTGAAGTACTGAAATTATAGTATTGTAATTATTACTTACTTGAGGATAAAGAAACCGTTGGCTCCCTTGCTGTACCACATGTTGCCTTTCACCTTGCCAATGTTGAAAATGTTGTAATCTTTCTGTATTTGGTCTCTGCCATGTTGTACTTCTTGTATTATGATCTACATAATAAATTCTGCCTCTTGGATCTCGACGAACTTCCCATCCTAGTGGTAAAGGTTGAGGTCGTTCCCAAGAAGTACTTCGTGTATTATGGTCAACATAATATCTGATTAAAAATACATTATATAAAGAAAAAATGTTATATATTCGCTAAAAATTTTGAAGTTAAATAATTGTTTAAAATAATATAACCTTCTCCCATAAATGTCGTATCTCATTTCCCAACCAAGAGGTAATGGTTCTTCAGAATGATTTGTAGGATCGACTTCAGCAAGTATTATCGAAGACCCCGATTGAGCCGACTGACCGGGTATTACAGCAGTTTGCCCTGCCAGTGATGGATCGACTTCAGCAAGGATTAGTGAAGATCCAGATTGAGTTGACTGACCAGGTATTACAGCAGTTTGTCCTGCCAGTGAGGAATCGACTTTAGGAAATATTATTGAAGACCCAAATTGTGTTGCCTGCCCAGGTATTACAGCAGTTTGTCCTGCCAGTGAGGAATCGACTTTAGGAAATATTATTGGAGATGCAGATTGAGTTGCCTGACCAGGTATCACAGCAGTTTGTCCTGTCAGTGAGGATACTCGTTGTACGACTCGAGTATTTGAACGAGTGTTCGTTATAGAATTTGTAGACTGTTCATTCCGAGGAATTCTACGTGCTTCAGCAATGGATAACATTGAAGGTTGGTCTGAATGTGCCATTGCACGACTATCTGTCATAAGAAACACTGTAGGTTGTTCTACATGAGAACCATCTGGTAAAGTAAATACTACAGATTGTTCTATTTGAGAATTTCCCTGGTTATCAGTTAAAACAGAACTTCTAAGTTGATCTACCCTAGAAACTATACATCCATCTACTAAAGGAGTAGCAACTTGATCTGTTCTCATAGTTCCAGAACTATCTGAAAGAGGTGTAGCTAATAATTGTTCTGTTCGAGAGTTACATTCACTATTAATAGACTGTTCTGTTCTATTATGTGAACATATATCTGTATTAGCTGTAGTTAATTGGTCTGATCTAGATATTCCAACTGTTCCAGGCAATACTGTTGCTTGTTCAATCTGAGAAGCATTACGCCTTTCTGAGACAGAAACCTTCTGAAATTGTTTTGCACATGCACCAACTCTTGCATCTACCATACCAGGTGTTGAGGCATGGTCTATTCGAGACATTTGACGTCCCTCCGGTAAAGATACTGTATAACGTCCTGATAAGGAAACAATAGATTTGTCTGCTGGTGATATTGCATGTCCATTTGATAAAGAATTTGATGCTACAGGTTCAATTTGTTCATTATTTTTATTAACATTGGCCTGATCACTTCCACTGTTGTATGGAGAATTTTTATATACATTTGTTAATCCATGTAAAGTAGATGATGCAGCATGTTTAGCTCCATGTAATCTCATACGAGCACGAATCCCTCCATTCAGAATGCTACTATTACTAACTGCATCATTATTTGAAACACCTGAAACATGACTGTGCTTGTACTCAAATTTAAAATAAATTTAATTACTAATATAATTCGTGCAAGATATATAATCAAAATGATAAAATCCTAGATTCTTTTTCATATACAAAAATGCATTACTCATTTCACACATTGATAAGATATTTTCAAAAAGCTTTATTTACATGTTGTCATATACTCTGTATTGCATACATAAATTGCAGTATAAGTGCAATTTTGTATACATAATGTTCATTATAACAATCTGTAAAATAGGTACAGGATTTGTAATGAACTGATAAAAAATGTTGTACACACAATTCCTTATTTCAAATGATCACCTCGAATATTTTAAATAGAATCATATAGTTCCTACCATTCAGTGTAATATAGGGAATCAAAGCAAATCCAGTGATAATGTATAATACTATTTTTATTAGTAATTTACAATATGAATACATATTACACATACAACACTATCATTAATAATTTGACACTAGTACAATAAATATAGTATAAGCTAGTGGCCTGTATTACAGTGACAGAGAAAGACTGAAAACAATTTCTGAAACTATATAAAATATTTTAGGTAACACTAATTTAGTGTAAATTTAGTATTTTTAAGATATTGTTTTTACTGTAAAATATCAATTGTGACATCATACATTATCATTGGATCAATTATAATATTAAAAGAGAAAATGTAAGGTCACCTTCAATTCTTTTCTTTTTCTTTAAATACAAAAATGGATTTGTATAGAATATTATGATGAACAGTTTACAGATTTAAAATGTCTTCTTAAAATGTCTTCTATTCCTTACATTTTTCTGTTTCACTTATCACTGGCTATTAGTAAACATTTTTGTTTCATTTATTTAATTATAAATTATTTTATAGATGTTATTTAGAAATTGTTATATACTTAACTCAAATTTCTTACCATCAGACAAACCACCAGGTTGTGTTGGATACAATAATGTTTCACTAGTATCTAATGATGATGTGTTTGGCATATTAATTCTTAATCCATCGAACACTGTAATCAATTCTCCAACCTTACATAATTGAGAATCATGTTTGTTTTCACTCATTAAATCAAAGGTTACTTCCATGTTTTCTAATTTTCCACTATAATGAGATAATACTTGAGAAAGACTTATTTTTTTCTCTCCTATTAAAGTATCTTTTCGAAATGTACTGTGGTCTAATAATCGAAAATGTAATTGAGAATATGGAGTCACAAGTATTGTGAATTCCTCATTCCATTTTGGCTGATATGTAGATTTTGAAACTTCTGTCTTCCGAGGACTTTTATCATCAACAGAAAATTCTATATAAGGATTAGGCTTTAAAAATGTGGAACTTCTTAATATAGCACCTTCAACTAAAATAAAACATTTTTATTACCAAAAAAAAATTCAATATTTATTTATTTATTAATCATTTCTGATATTATAAAAATAAAATTGCTTAATATTTTTAAATGTGTAACAGTTACTACTTTATATGTAAATATTCATTAATTTTCAATATTAAAGAATGATAGATAATATAAATACACACAAAATATATTAAATATATAGCAATAAATAATATAGATTAAATTTATGTTTCTTAACATAAATTCGACTTACTTGTAATGCTTAATTGGTGAAAACCAGATGATGCCACTTCTTCACAATGAGACATTGTACGCATTTTAAAATATTAAGAATATTTATTTAGCCTTAATAAGTTGAACTAATAAGTATCAATACATTTATTACATCCACTTAACCGCTTGAATGCTAACGTGTTTCTTGCCAAAAGTGCGGGCAGCAATGTGTTCTGCACTCTTGGCATAACAAATGAGAAGTGCGATCGCGCTCTTCGCATTTTTGGTATGACAGTAAAGAAGTGCAATCGCACTTGTCAGCACAAAAAACGGTTAAATACCAATTTTTAATATAATATAAAATAAAGTTGAAGAGTATTATAAATAGTAATTATTACTACAAAACAAAACAAATACTGAAACTAGGTTAGATAAATGATTTATACTACACCACTGTGTAAATTGTGGAAATGGAAAATTGTCTCAGATACGTTTATATGATAAGCGGAAAACAATTGTTATGAAAAAAAAAATTATATAATTAACGATAAATATACATTGTTATACAAAGCAATACAGTACAAGATTATTTAAAAAACCTGAGTTTTGATATATTAAATTAAAGACATCATTATTATCATTATCTTCTCTAAATGATCGAATAGCAAATTACTCAAATGATGAACGAATAAATTGTGGTACATACGAATGTACTTATCATGAATTGTTTTAAACGCATCCAAATCCTATGCATTGCCTGTTCCTGAGGCTATTAATGTTTGTACAATGAAAAGATTTGTTTAAACACTCACAATTTTTATTATCATAAAACTTCTCTATCAGTAGGTCACCACCTTTTTATACATCAAAGATAGGAACCTTTTATAGTATGTAAATCACTAGGCATAAAAGATAGTGTGTGTATGCGCATGCACATGTCACGTATACTGAGCCCCATCCATTCTTACCGAAATCCTGGAATTAACACAAATGCATAGCGGTGTGCTTATATGTGAAATGGCATACGATGTGTATCATAGCAAATGACGTATGATACCATTTCACATAATACCATCAACGCTATACGTGTGTAGTTCTAGGGTTTCGGCAAGAATCCATGAGACTCAGTATACTTATGTTAAACAAAATGCAACTATATTAAATCTCGATTTTGAATTCCCTAAAATTAAAATAATTGTACAAAATGTGAACTTATT